TTTATACCAAAATTTAATAATTCACAATATTTATATTAAAAAAATATATGCATGTATTATTTTTGAATCATCTACAACAAATTTATTTCTTGTTTTATAGTCTTCATTAAATTTCTTTTAACAATATCTATTTAAAACTCTTTTTTTTCGAGTACCTTACTAAAATGAAAAATAATAAATTTTAAAATAATGAAGTTCATTAAAAAGTGTACAAATAAAACTAAGAGCTACTCTTTTTTTAAAAATTAAGTTAGTTTTTACTCAAAGTACTTTTCGTTTTCTTAATCTTCTTAATGATTTGTTAAGATTCTTTTTTTTTTAATTATTAAAGTTCGTCATCCAGATTATTCATGCATTTATAAACTACACTCCAAAGTCACTTTAAAAACCATATTGAGCACATTCGAAGCTCTTGATTGAACATCATGAGGAAGAGTTGGTACTAAAAGTATTCAAAACAAAAAAAGTGAGTAAAAAATGAATCAGAAAAATAGTTGAGAATTTACTTTTTACAGTGTTTTAAATTAAAGTATGCAAGTTAACGTATTTATCCATATTTAAAAAAGAAGAGGGCAGTACCTTGCAAGCAGGTATTGAGTGCCTGAAATACAAAATGAAAAGATTCTGATTTTAAATAGTACAAAAAATCAATGACTAAGCATTGATGGCGTGACGATAGCTTTAAAAATGGCCCAAATTCATCTAAACATGTATAAAAGTTGAAAAGAACAAAAAGATTAGAAGAAAAATTGAGTTTTAAGGTAAACTTAAAAAAAAAGTGTCGAAAAGGATCTTCATTTACTATTACTGTTATTATCATTTTTTCTTTTTAACAAAAAAAAGTAAAACTAAAATTAAAGGTGAAAGTGAAGAAGAAGACCTTACTTTCACTTTTCGAATGGCAAAAAAATGGAGCCAATTTTGAGGCAAATTCAACTAAAAAGTCCTCCTTCATTTGGAAAGAGGAGAAAATATATCTTAAAAACAAAAGCGCATCCTCAACGAACGATGTTTGAAGGACATCTGTACAGCAAAGTGAATCTACCAAGTCGAGGCAAAAACTATAAAGTAATTCTGAGGATTTGATACGATGTGAATTGGATTTCTATGAAAATCAAACAGAAGAAGAAAAAAAAGTTGGAGAAAAAAAAAATTTAGAGAATCAACAAATTTTCATTTAAAAAAGCGGTCTGAAAGTTGTTTTTTGCGAAAAAAGTACCTACTTTTAAAAAGGAAGTAAAAAGTTGAATTGCGGCTGATTTCACAGGCCGATTTGGACGAAGTATTTGTAACCATTTCAAAAAGTTATCTAAGAAGCAAGGTTCTTTAAGAAAAAAATTCTCTAACGTTGGACCAAGTAGAGCAAGTTGTTCAGCAGAAAGGGTGGAGTTCGCTTTAGGTTGAAATAAACTTTTTAGACATGGAAGAATAAGAGATGTTTCTTCGGGATAGAGTTGACGTAAAATCTCAGTCATGTACACATTCGTAGATAATAAAATTTTTCCAGCCTAGAAAAAATAGAAGTTAGAAAAAGCAAGGTACAGGAATGTTAAAAAAATACAAAAATTTATGTTGAGATTAAATTTTTTCAATTTTTTTTATTTACTCTTTACATCATTTTAAGAATTTTTTAATTAGATCGTTTATTTAGTTGGATACTCTTATACTTTTTCATCCGCTTGTAAACCTTTCCCAAATGGAAAGTAGACTAAGAAATGGCGAAGAGTTGTTTTTTTGTAATTTTTAAGAAATTTTGAGTCTGGAAGCGATTTGTGCAAAGCCCATGCGTAATAAAGAGATTTCACACAAGCATTGCAAACTTCAATTGATGCACCCGCTTCAACCCTACATTTTGAAAAGACCTTTTGTGAAGTTTCGATCCAAGTATGTAGAATAGAAGTAGAGAAACTCGAAATCAATTTTGATGGATTAAATGTATTAGTGGACATTGAGGAAAAGGGGCCATTTTTATGAGCAACGTAGAATTCTGAAAGTATTATTTTTGGTTCTGGACATAGAAGAAACAAAGACGAAGAAGAATTTGAATTGTGAATGGAAGAATGAGAAGACTGGAAGCTAAGCCGGTTTTCTTTCAAAAAAAGAAAATGAAGGTATTTTCCAAATGTGGTTAAAAGGAGGTGCTTCAAATTGAATACGCTGAATTGATTCGTATTGAGACCCTGAGTAGGTCTATTTGAAATATCTGAAGTAAATAAACCCAAAAAGTGATCTATGAGTGAGAGTGAAGAGGAGTCCAGAAAGTCAATTTCCAAGGTATCTAGAAATAGATCCAAGAATTTTAGGGAATCAATACGAATATCTAATTGTAAATGAGTCATTGAGGATGCCGAGTATGCTGAGATTTTACTTATAAAAGGCTGAAATTTCATCTTATTAAGCATAGTTTCATATAATTTTTTTTTTTTAAATATACAGCATAGTAATCTAAGTTAATGAAAAATATATAAAAAAAAAAATAAAGATTTTATTTTAGAATTCTACTTGAAAAAAACAATATAAAAAAAATTGAAAATATTTCATGCCAACTTAATCTTCAAGAAGGCATAACATTAAAGCTGAGTAAAAAGATGAAGAAAAAAAATACCTTATCAATTGATGTGAAAAGACTTCGAAAAAGGGTTAACAAAGCCTTTCTTACTTGTGGTTCCTATTTTTGAGCAAAAAATCTTAAACATTAATTAAATTGGTTAAATGAACAAAGAGGAAATAAAAAAAATAATAATAAAGAAGAAAGTGAGAAAGAAGAAAAAGAAAAAGAAATTTAACCTCATCCAGCATTCTTTGAAGCAGGGGTTCTAAAAATTCTAAAGATAAGGAAATCTGTTCTAAACGAGTAGTGACTTCGTCTAATATACCAAACACCGAGCGTTTGCGAACATTTGCATTAGGATGTTTTAAATGCGAGACATAATTTTTTAAAGCGTCTTTTGATTTCAAATCTTGTGGCAAAGAACTTTGAATTAAAGACGCCTGTCCAGGCAATACCAACACTAGACACAAAATGAAGACCTTACTATTAGCTTCATTTTTTCTCTTCCTTTTTTTTCTCTCGAAGAGGCTACTGACAGTTATAATAAAAAATACCTTTAGACTTTAAATCAATGACGGTTGCATTTGCTTTTTTTAATGTCTTCCCCACTTTCAATTTGATTTTCTAATCATGAGAGAAGCAAAAAAAAGTTAGAAGGATAAAAAGATGGAAGTCAGGAAAAAAAAAAGAAAAAAAGAAAAAAAAGAAAAAAAAATCTTTC